GAGAGAGAGAGAGAGAGAGAGAGAGAGAGAGAGAGAGAGAGAGAGAGAGAGAGAGAGAAGGGGAGACGGGATGTGTTGTGATGGTGCTTCTCTTCTATTCGTCTGAGTAATTTTGGTATCAAGCGCAAGTCGCCCTTGTCTTTTTTTGATCCGCATCTCGGATTTTTCCGTTCTTTCTTCCCAGAGAACTGATGTGTGTCTTCCTTGCTTCCCTCCTCTTTCTGTTTGAATCAGCAATCTAATTGGTTGGTCACCTACAATCGAATTTTGTATGATCCTTGGCCAGTGGCCAAAGAATTGATGCACGAATGATTGTCAACTCCTTTTTGTTTGTGTTCGAAGTTGGATGCATGGGTGTTTGGTTTTTTTCTGTCTGAGTATGAACTAGATGACCATGCTAGATGATTAGATGCCTGTCTCACGATAGGATCACCCACCTTCGGGTTAACGGGCCAAGTGCGCACAGATTGTGAGCTGCTGACCTTTACCCGCCTGGCCGACGGACAGGTCTTGTGCACGCACGTGTAAGCCCGACCGAAGAAGGTCGTTACTTACACGCGTGTCTGCAAGATCCGTACTCGGCCCAACTCCCCGAATGTCTAAATTTCCGCCCCACCCTACAGTATGAATATCGAAATCCCCTTTCGTAAAACTGACCGCGAGTGCCTGAGGGATCGTGAATTCCGGGAGTATTGGGAGCACGCGTGCTTATCTACACGATCAAGGGCGGAACCTCCAGAATTCCCCTACTTAACAGGAAACGAACGTATTTGTGAGTGGGATATTGATCAGGCCTTGGGACGTATCCCCCACCTTCCCGGCTGCCCTAGCTCATACACGTGTCACGTCGTCGCGGAACCCGGAATCATTATTATGGAAACCGAACTCCCTCCCTATCACCGCGTCCTGCCCTTTCACTCCCTAACCATCATCTCTTGGCGCGCACTCGCTCCCTACTGGCACCAACCCCCGTGCTCGGAGTGTCTGCAAGACCACAATTACCGAGCATCCGGCTTCGTCCGGCAAACTTGCTCAGAGGAAGAACGACGGGAGCAAAGCCTGCGGCTGAGGCCGGCCGCGTCGGATTCCGAGACCTGCGGCGTTCAACATTGACAAATGATCAGCCAGCGAGACAGCCATAGCGTCCCGGCGGTACACCAAATACGAGTCCGACCCAGACGACGGAACCAACGAAGGCGGTAGCTCCGCTATCCGAAGCATAAAACAGGACTCCGACCCGTGCCTACCCTCTTGCATTCATACCCCTGAAACTTGTCACAGGAGATCTCAATTCCAACCTGGGACTCCACCCCCACTTTCCTAAAATCCTTGCCCACTCTCACTCAGATCAGGAAGCCACGCCGGGCGTGAAGTTGGGCATCACATGGCTGCGACAATGTCCCTGAACATGCCCCTGGACATGCAAAGCTTCTCTTGGTAGTACATATTGGTCGAATCATCATCCATGCCCGCAAGTCCCCCCATTCCTTCTCCTTGTCCA